TTTTTTTTAATGAATTTTTTTTATTTGGTAGATGTAGGGGTAATATTTCAATGAAAAATATTTTTCGTTAAAATAAAATTATTTTTTGTGGTCAATTAAAAATATTTTTTTGTGGCCGATTTTCTTTTTATACTAAAAATCAAGAACTATTTTTTTGTGGTAGAGGAGAGAAAGCGACAATAGTGGTGAAGGTGGTGGATATGAGGTGCTGGTGGTGGTGGTGGTGATGGCGAAGGAGATTAGTGGTAAAGTTGTGGTAGTGGTAAAGGCGATAGAGTGGCGGTGGTAGATGAGAGGTAATAGTAGTAGTAGAGAGTGAGAGAGAGATAGAGAGACAAAGAGAGAAAGAGATAGAGAGTGGGAGATAGAAAAAGAGACAAAGAGAGAGGAGAGATGAATGAGAGAGACAGAGAGAGAGATAGAGAGAAGAGAGATGAGCGAGAGAGACATAGAGAGATGAGAGATGAACGAGAGAGACAGATAGAGAGATAGAGAGAAGAGAGATGAGCGAGAGAGACATAGAAAGAAAAGAGATGAACGAGAGAGATAGAGAGAAGTGAGATGAGCGAGAGAGACAGAGAGAGAAAGAGAGATTAGAGAGAGCGAGAGGAGAGAGATGAACAAGAGAGATAGAGAGAAGAGAGATGAACAAAACAGACAGAGAGAGAAAATATATGAGAAAAGACATAGATAAGTGAGAGACACAGGGAGAGAGAGACAGACAGACAGACAGAGAAGAATGATGAGTAAGAGAGAGAAATAGAAGAGAGAGGGGAAGATGACAAAATGGGTGAAGAGAAAGAGAGAGTGATGGAATGAGAGAGACAGAGGCGCGAGAGAATCGATGGCAGAGAGAGAGACGTGTTTAAGCCCTAACTCATTTTAGTGTGTTTGAAATCCCTCTAGAGTTCCTCGCCAAATTAATTTAAAAATCCCTCCAAAATGATAATAAATAAAAAGTAAAATTATAATAATAAATAATAGAGAGAGAAAGAGAGAGAGAAGAGTGATGAGTGAGAGAGAGACAGAGAGAGAGAGAGAGAGAGAGACATGGAAAGAAAGAGATAGAGACAGAGACAGAGAGAAACAAAAGATGAGTAACAAATAGACAAAGAAAGAAAGAGAAAGAGAGCGAAAAGAGATGATCGAGAGAAAAACATAGAAAAAGAGAGAGATAGAGAGAGAAGAAAGATGAGTGAGAGAGACAGAGAGAGAGATAAAAAGAAGGGAGATAAGTGAGAGAGACAGAGAGAGAGATAAAAAGAAGGGAGATGAGTGAGAGAGATAGAGAAAGAAAAAGGATGAGAGAGATAGAGAGAAGAGAGATGAGCGAGAGACAAAGAGAAAAAGAGACAAAGACAGATAGATAGAGACGAGTGATGAGTGAGACAGAGAAAAAAAGAGAGACAAAGAGAGAGAGACAAAGAGAGAAAGGAATAGAGAGTGAGAGTCATAAAAAGAGACAGAGAGAGAGGAGAGATGAACGAGATAGACAGAGAGAGAGATAGAGATAAGAGAGATGAGTGAGAGAGACATAGAGAGAAGAGAGATGAAAGAGAGAGAGATAGAAATAAGAGAGAGATGAGCAATAGAGACAGAGAGAAAAGAGAGATGAGAGAGAGCGAGAGAAGAGAGAAGAACAAGAGAGATAGAGACAAGAGAGATGAACGAAAGAGACAGAGAGATACAGAAAGGAGAGAAGAGATAGATGAGTGAGAGACACAGAAAAAGAGAGACAGATAGATAGACAAACAGATAAAGAGAGAAGAGTGATGAGTAAGAGAGAGAAAGAGAATAGAGAGAGGAAGATGAAAAAATGGGTGAAAAGAGACAGACAAAGAGAGAGAGAGAGAGAAAAAAAAAGAATGAAAAAGATAAACGAGAGAGATACAGGGAGAGATGAGCGAGAGAGATAAAGAGAAGAGAGACAGAGAGAGACGAGAGATGAGAGAGATAGAGAAAAGAGAGATGAGTGAGAGACACAGAGGGAGAGACATAGAAGAGTGATGAGTGAGAGAGAGACAAAGACAAAAATAGAGACACAGAGAGAGACAGACAGACCGAGAAAAGTGATGAGTGAAAGAGAGAGAAAGAGAAGAGAGACAGAGATAGAGACACAGAGAGAAAAAGAGAGACAGATAGATAGACAAACAGAACCCACATAGAAAACCCACATAGATAGAAATCAGAATCACACAAAAAAACAAAAACCGAAAAATCAAAACCATTTTTTAACAAAGAAAAACAGAGATTGAGCTGATTGGAACCTCGTTGAACGATGAAATCGTTGGTGAAGTAACAGAGGACAACCCAGACACCAACGCTGCACATTTTCTGGTCCCAGCAATTGGTGAAGAAGCTTTGAAGAAGCAGCTTCGGAGCTCATAACTCGAACCAAAATTCGCCGCTCGTCGCTCGCCTCCGTGAGAGAGAGTAATTTTTAGTCGCTGAAATTAAGGTTTTGCCGATCAAACTTTTGGTCGCGAAAGATAAAAAATAATTTTTTATTTTTCTTTCTGCGACTAAAATATTTTAATTGCCAAAACTATATATACCGCGACCAAAATAATTTTTAGTCGCTGAAATTAAGGTTTTGCCGACCAAACTTTTGGTCGCGAAAGATAAAAAATAATTTTTTATTTTATTTCAGCGACTAAAATATTTTAGTTGCAAAAACTGTATATACCGCGACCAAAATAATTTTTAGTCGCTGAAATTAAAGTTTTGCCGACCAAACTTTTGGTCGCGAAAGATAAAAAATAGTTTTTTATTTTTCTTTCAGCGACTTAATTATTTTAGTTGCCAAAACTATATATACCGCGACCAAAATATTTTTTTAGTCGCCAATTGTGACAAATTTAGCAACTAAATTTTTTTTAGTCGCCAATTGTGAGATTTTTAGCAACTAATTTTTTTTTAGTCGCCAAAAATTAATATACCCCGACTAAAAAAATTTAGTAGCTAAATATTGTACTTTTACCGACTAACATAATTTTTGGTCGCCAATTCCACTACTTTTGGCAACCAAAATATTTTTAGTCGGCAAAAGTGGTCGCCAATTGTGTATTTTCTTGTAGTGATGCCACGAGAGAGATGAGTTCTTAGTCACAACAAAAACCACCAAACCCATGCCTTCCTTATGCGGTGTGCATACCATACCTAGCAACAAGGCCACATTAACCCAATGTTGAAACTAGCAAAGCCACTCCACCACAAGGGTTTTCACATCACCTTCGTCAACACCACATTCAACCACCACTGCCTCCTCAAATCCTAGGGCCACCACTTCCTTTCTAGCACCGCCTCCTTCCGCTTTGAAACCATCCCTGACAGCCTCCCTCCCTCCATGGTTGACACCATTCAGGACATCCTGTTGCTCTGTCACTCCATTTTGCATAACTTCTTAGATCCCTTTAGAGTCCTACTTGCCAAACTCAACCGTCTGATGACTTGTGTAGTTTCAGATGTTACAGTGGGGTTCACTGTGAAAGCGACTCAATAACAACTGGGCATCTTTTTTTTTTTTTCCAACACTTCGAGTGCTAGTAGCTTCATGGGCTATATGCAGTATCCAAAACTCACGGAAAAGGGTCTTACTCCACTCAAAGGGGCTTACTATTTACTCTTTTTTTAATTCTTTTTTACTAATGTTATAAATACATAAATTTCTCACCTCATCCGAGTCTTTGTGTAGAAAATGATAAATAAACTCACTTTTTATATTCATTTTCTAAACTCAGTCATATGTCAATAAGCTGATTGGTTGTTGATTAAAAAATAATTAAGAGGGAGAGTTGACTTAGATATGTTAATAGAGTGCCATGTCATTGGATTTAAAAGAGAAATTTTTATATGCTAATAGAGTACCACGTGGCACTATCTTCCACTAATCACAAATGTATATATCCACTATTATTCCCCAAACACTCAACATAAATGTAGTGGATCCTACTGTCAAAACCAATCACAATAGTAGAAGGTATCACATGGCATGTACCCTACCCACATACAAAAATTTCTCGATTTAAAAAGTAGTACTAACTTTTGGACCTAAATAGTAATACTCGTATTTGTGTCTAGTGTAAGAAATTTGTTTCTATATACAGGGTTTTACATAAAGTAATATATTTCAATTTTTTAAGGGCATTGCTATAAAAAGTTCAAAAATTAAACCTAATTTTTAAATTCAATAATACAATCAATTAATATATTTAAGACAACTCTCTCTTATCTTCTTTGATCATCTACTAATCATATCACTTACAATATCATTGAGTCTAAAAAATAGATCTAGAAAATGGGTTTCTGTATCATTTTTATTTTTTTAATTATATTATGTTTACAGCTAATAAACACATTTTTAAAAATAAAATAATTTCAAACCAAAAATATTTAATTTTTTAGACGAAAATTTTGATCTAAAAAGATTAATAATTCATCAATAAAATTTAATTTTGTAAATAAAAATATAATAACACTTTTGACAATTAAAATATTTCATTCCTAATTTTACTTCTAAAATCTTAATTTATTACAGCGTACCTTACATATAGTAGACACTATATACATTGTACGATGGCTATAATTTATCAATAATGTTTGAGAGTTCTAATTTGAGAGCTCTAATGCAACTCTAATAATGTGAAGAGTACCCATGTGAAGGTGGGGCCCACTCTCCTCTCGCAATCTCTCTCTACTCTCTCTCTCTTTCACCTCATTAGAGCTCTATTTAGAGCTCTCAAATTAGAAGTATGTATCATTACTCATAATTTATGAATGAAAAATGTTTTAGAGCTCTAAAAGAAGACCTCTTAAGTAGTATTAATTTGTCTTCTTCCTTTTTCTATTTTGTCTTTTCCTCTTTTATTTATTTATTTATTTATTTATTTGAGGTGTGCGTTTAGTAGAGCTGAGCAGCTCTACTAGAGCTCTCTAGCAAAGCTGTTTATGAAAAATATTTTTCCCTTTTTTTTTTTTGGTTTTGGTTTTTTTGGGTTGAAATTGCAGATAAAAGTTATTTAACCAATGGTTATCTAACTTATCTAGACACTGTCATAGACTAGATACCAGGCATGAACGGCATACGATTGAAGGATCTCCCAAGTTTCGTTCGAGCCACCGAACCAAACATCGATTTCGTTTTGGACGTAGCTCACAAAGCTTCAGCGATCATTTTCAACACCTTCGAGCATGATGTTTTGGAAGGACTATCTACAATGCTCCCACCTATCTACATCCTTGGTCCTCTTCAATCAGTCCTCAACCAAACCCCACAAAATCACTTGAACACCATTGGATCAAGTCTCTGGAAAGAACAACATGACTGTCTTTCATGTCTTGATTCAAAAGAACCCAACTCTGTCGTTTACGTAAACTTTGGCAGCATAACTGTGATGACACCCCAACAGTTGATTGAATTCGCTTGGGGACTTGCTAATAGCAGGAAAACATTCTTGTGGATCATTAGACCTGATTTGGTTACTGGTGACTCGGCAATTCTTTCACCAGATTTTTTGAATGAGACTAAAGAAAGGGGTCTATTGGCTAGTTGGTGTCCTCAAGAACAAGTCCTGAGTCACCCATCAGTTGGAGGATTCTTGACACACTGTGGATGGAATTCAACTTTTGAAAGTCTTTGCATATGTTGTGTTGGCCTTTTTTTTTTCAGAGCAACTGACAAACTGTTGGCTCTGTTGCAAAGAGTGGGGTATAGGGATGGAGATAAACAGTGATGTGAAGAGAGAGGAGGTTGAGAGCTTAGTTAGAGAGTTGATGGGTGGAGGAGAGAAAGGTCATGGAGTGGAAGAATTTGGGTGAAGAGGCAACAGCTTGTTCTGTTGGGTCATCTTACTTGAATTTTGATAAATTGGTCAGATCTGTGCTCATGTCCACTGGTTCAAATGAAAGTAGTTGTGTGTGCCAATTTTCCATCTTACAAGCAATTTCTGAAATAAGTTTTTCACTGTTTGGAATAATGATGTGCAAGTATTTCAATGCCAGGGGGTTTGGGGAAGGACTAGTAGTTTGATTTGTCATTGTGTCTCATAATTGTATTTTATGTTTTTCTAATAAAAAAGTTCTTGTTAGAATTTTTTTTAATTTTTTGTTTTCTATTTTTGTCATTAAATAATGATTTACATAATTTTAATTTTTTTTATAATCCGATAAGCTTCCCTTGAACCTGAATTGGAGGAACCTCTTTCTTACCAAAACATAATGTAAAATTTAAGTGCAACGTTGATGTCATGTGATTGTGTCCACATGATACTACCAATTATAACCTAACATGTGACTGAGTAAATTTCATTTTTTAATTGTAACCATCAACCTATGTCATTATTGTAACTTTCAAGTAACTTTGTTTGGCAATTTGGTTATTTTAGTTGACTTTTTTATTATTTAATTATTTTTGCTTGATTAAAAAAGTTATGTTTGGAAAAATAGTAGGCTTTTTTTTATAGTTAATTTGATAGTTATGAGAGAAAAAATGAAAAAAATATAGTTTAGATGTGATATTTTGTCTTATTAACTATTTTAATCTATTTGTTCTTTATTAACTATTTTAGCTCAAAAAGCAAAAAAAAAAAAAAGAAAAAAAAAAGAAAAGAAAAAAGCTACTTCCCAAAGTAGGATTGAGATCTATACTTGATGAGTAAGTGATAGTATATTATGAGTCATATAAGTCTAAATATAATTGGAAAACAAATACATACATACATACATACATATATACATATACACATATACATACACATACACATACATACATATCTACATATAGAATGTATGCATATGTCCATGTCTATGTATGTATTTTTTTGTTCACATAGATACAAACCCTAGCACATTTCAAACCAGATCTGCATCTCCGCCACTATTAAGAAAGCGCTAGCTACATCAGCGATAGTGAAAGCTCCACGGTGGTGATAGATCTAGATCTGCATGCCCATACTGTGGAGGGAGGAGATAGAGTGGTTTTGGTGGCGGTGACAGAGAGAGCGGCAACGAAAAAGAGAGTGGAAGGGAGGCGAGTGGTGTGAATGACCCCTATAACATATATATAAATGGGTAGTTTGGTCGTTTTATACTAGCTTGTTTTTATGGACAAAGTGTTTTAGTACCTGGACCTACGGTTAAAGAAAATTTAAATTCGAATTTTTGGCATGAGCGTCTTAATTTAAAATTTAAAGTCAAGATTCATTCATGGAGTGGCCCCACAATAAAAGATTAAATATAAATCATAAATCTAAAATTTTGAAAAATTTCTTTTTTTGTTATTATAATTATTATTTTGGTGCTGAGACTTTTGCTGACCCAAAGGACTATGTTATCCCATATAAGCAACCTAAGAGGGGATGAATTGGGTTTCTAAAAATAATTTCACAATATTAAAAATATTAACCCAAATGATAAATAATTTTTTTTTTTGATAAATAACCCAAATGATAAATAAATAAATTTGCTCAATAACTTATTCCAGTCATTATAAATTTAGAATTGAAAGCAATGGAACGATGGAGGGGCAATGGTGGTTGGATTCCGGTAGTGAGGCATCGGAATGGAGGTGGATCAAAACGCAGTGAATCAAGCCATGGACTCTTTACGATTTTCGTGGACAACCTACCTCAATCAATGGATGTTAGATCCCTGTTCAAACTCTTCACTAAGTTTGGTATCGTGAAGGATGCTTATATACCTTTCAAAAGAAGGGTAGCGACAAACTCAAGATTTGGGTTTGTGAGGTTCGATTGCTCTGTTGCAGCTGATATTGCTATCCAAAAAGCTAATGGGTTGTTGGTGGATGATAGAGAGCTAGAAGTCAAAAAAGCTAGTCATGAAAGGGGTTCACAGGTGGAACACAGTAAAAGGAGATCGCAACCCATGAGCAGATTTTCAGGCACAGGCAACATCAGGGGCCATCCGTCAGGTGCAGGGCAAAAATCATACGCAGAGGTTCTAAAAGGAAAAAATCCTGTGGTAGCTGGAACTGTAAGCACGACCATAAAAGTTGATGAAGTTGGGCATTTTTGGATCTAATTCTAATGTTTTTATTTTTATTTTTTGTAGATGACTTTGATGCGTGGACTTCTAGAGATATTTTGGTGTATGGAGAAGAAATTGTACTTTTGTATAGAAGTAATATAATACTTTTGTCGTCTCCGGCTTTTGTGTAGTTATATATTACTGATACAGAAAACTTTTGGCAGCCAACAGATAATTACTAACATGGTAGATAGATCACCTTTTGTCGCCGTACAGATATATGATTTTTTGTCGTGGTACATAGATGTACTTTTGGCTTGGTACATACATCACCTTTTGTCGTGGTACAGATTACGATGGTAATGGACTCGAAATTGGCCTCGAATGAAACAAGCAGAGAAGGAGAGGGGGAGGAAGGAGGAAGAGGGACTGGAGGGGCGAGGGAGGGGGAGGAGGACTGGAGGGGGAGGGAGGGGAGGGGGAGGGGGAGGGGAGAGGAGGAGGGAGGAGAGATGGGGGGATGGGGAGGGGAGGAGGAGGAGGAGGAGAAGGAGGGACGGAAGGGGCAACAAATGGAGCTGGAGGCGGGGGGCAGGGGGCAGGGGCGGAAGGGGGCAAGAAAAAAACCGACGGGCAGGCGACGTGGGGCACAAGGCGACTAGCAGCGACGGTCGGCGACGATCCTCGCGGCGGCGGCGGTGCTGGCTCTTCTCTCT